TTGTATGTATGGTGATATTATAACGGAATGTCATAAATGAGTACCTATGATGATTGAACTGAGTATACTGAGAATATTAAGTGTATTTGGAGAAATATGTCGATGTAGATTAAAACAACTCATACGAGTGTATTTGGATATCCCGATTATAATAAGTGCGAGCATTATGTATATGATGATATCAGAAGAAAGTATGATGATTGAATTGAGTGTACTGAGAATACTAAGTATATCCCGATGTGATTGAGGATTCTATTAGTTACCAGAACAACTAAATGTCTCATCAAACTTTATCAACCTTCCCACCATACTGAATTTCAAGCACTTACAAATACATAGAATTCGCAGTCCACGCCATAAAATATCACTCCCCCAGAATCAATCTATAGATAATGTTCCTATTGCACTGTCCAATAGAATTACTCTTGACAATTTATAACAACACAGTGTACGATATATTTGTTCACTTTAATTTATAAATGAAAATACTACTGGACATTCTCATATAATTAATCTTGACAATTCATAGCAACATAGACTGTACAGTATCTTCGTTCACCTTAATCTACAGATGAGATTACAACTGCACTTTTTCACATAATCAATCTTGATAATTTATAACAACACAGACCATCCAGTACCTCCGTCCATTTTAATCTACAAATGAAAATGCTATTTTCACATACATACACTTGCATAGATGAGATTGCAACTGCTCTTTCTCACATAATTAATCTTCATAATTTATAACACCACCATACAGTGCACAATACCTTTCTCCATTTATTCATCTATACATGAAAATGCCATTTTCATGCGTATACCTTCCCACACAATCAATCTAAGTAATTTATAACAACAATGCAGAGTGTACAGCACCTTCCTTCGTCATGGTCCGTACATGAAAATGCTGCTGCACTTTTCCACAAGATTATTCTTAATAATTAACAACAACATCCAAGAGCTTGCTATAACACCTCCTAGCCCGCAACAATTTTTACGTTGGTAGCCCCCGTAGTATAATGAAGCCGCGATCGATCCTCCAGGCCATTCATTTTCGGCGTAATCAATATTGCACCGGGCCGGGGCTGATGATGTATCTAAAACCGTAGAGGAGGTCGGTCCGCCCCCGCCACGCTATAAATTATAACGTTGTATTAGGGCGTCGCGATGCTGCGGTCGCTTCTGCGGCGTCAGAAGCACCCTGGATCCGATCTGGGTGTATTGCATACATAAATGCATGCCCGTCGGAGGACAATACCAGCCTCCCGTGGCTTCCTATTATAGCCAAATTCCGCTCGTGCGCCGTTGTCTGCCCAACGGGAAAGAGGAATTTCGAAAAATCGTAATTAAACGACGGTCCAGTTGAACACGATGCAAACGTTCAGAGTAAAACGCGATAAAAAATACAATTTCGATTTATTATGGAACTCGTGTGGGCGGAGAGGATCGATGAACAGTTTCCACGAGGAACATCCTTGGAGTGTTTACTGATAATTTTAAAGCAATTGAGGGACTCGCAACAAAAACCACCCTTGTCGACCTTTGCTTTTTTGGTGGCATCTTTAAGAATTTTTCGATTTAGTTTGCAGACCTATATAACATTTTTTCCTCATTTTTATTCATAGAATATACTGCTGCAGTTTGATCTTTAATCCTGGGACACCCTGTATACAGGGTGGGAAAATAACTTGAAAGAAAGTTTACTTTACTACCACATTTGACCTTGCATGACCTAACTCGCTGAAGTTGTCTCAACACCGGCTATCACATCGCGATAAAAAAAAACATAGCATTCTGTTTAAAAAAAATAGAGATGACCTTGAAATCTCCTCTATTCTTTCACCCACGCAGAAAATGTTTGTGTCGCAATATGCCCCCCTCTATACCGTGTAAGTTTTGTATATAACATTTTTTCATATTATTAGAAATAATGGCAATATTCAAAGTGGACATAGTTATTGCCCCACCCTGTATAAAGGTAGTCTACAATCTACGACAATCCCCACTCGCACGCTCCAATTCGAAAATCTACGAATCCCCCAAAGACAATCCAGATCTCGAAACCTCAATTCCAAAAAGGCAAAGGACTTCGAGACCCTCAAAGGAAAAAGTACCGAACGTGGACCCAGTCTGATCTCCGGCCACGGAGCACGGTTATCTGTTTCTCCTACGACTTAATCCCATCATCGCAATTACCTAACCGGTCGACGTGAAAGGATCGAAACGTCGGAAGGTCCAAAAAGTCACAATACGCGCGATTGCTGAGCAAAGGAGGAGAGATCCGAAGGGAAACTTAAAGACTTTTCGGTCGCCTTTAATCGGCCGAGAGCTTCCCCAAATTACCGTGCTCGTGTTCAAACATTTGCGAAACGCGATTCTAGGCGCCGTTAATTGCCGGGCCACCATCTTGGACGCGCGAGTGGATGGATTAACCTTCAAGCTGTTGGGAATATCCCTTTCGGGATATTAACGAAACTCCATATTCTGTGCAGTGTATATGTTACATATGAATAATTAAAACTTATTAATTGGAATTATGCCACTATGAATAATTGAAGTTAAAATATCTTCGAAACTGGTACTATTCTTATATGAACTGGTTGATACCTTTTTATACAGAATTACGATTCTATTTTTGAGAAAACAAACTTGACATTCGTATGCCCTCTACGTGTCCACTTACAATACAAAAAACTGATCAGGATAAAAATTATGGCCCCCTTGAAACCATTCAACTTTTGTCTCAAGTATTTTTTAATATTATCAGGAACAAGCGAGATATTCACGGTGACAAAATTAATTAAACCACAGTCGTTCAAAGGCCCACATGACCAAGTTCACTTTCCGAATTTATTCAAATATTAATATCAAAGCACTTGATCGGTGCAACTTTTTATATTTAGAATAAATTTTTTTGATCATTTTCGTGGAGTTAATCGCTTCTGCAAATGAACGACTTCTATGGTACTCAAAGTAACAAATAATATTCCATTGCCATTTGTGTTCTCTCAACGATCCATCAAGCTTTCACCTGAGAACGAAACGTTCCAGTGGTTAATGCGAACGATAAATGCGACGGTAAACTCGATATCGACCGATTCCGAACAGGATGGGTTCATTATCGCGGTCCGATATATGTTTAACGAGGTAAAACGACAGTCAGTTAATTACCCCGCGCGCCGCTACCGCTGGTCCCCTGCTCCTCGATCATCTGTTTGCCATCGACCCACCCCTCCGGCCAATCGCTTCGCTCCCACCGTTTTTCCTCTCGTCGAATTGCCGCGCAACTAGCTTCTCCACACACTGTTCACCTGGATTTCTTGCACACGGGACCAGCGTCTAACTCTCCGTTTAACTTCGTGCAATTTCATTCTTATCGAACAGATTCGATTCTAATACCCCTCATCGACGGAAACGTTTCGAAATCGACGATTGCATTTTGTTCACTTAATGGCTGTGTTTACGGTATTTCCGTAAAACTTCGCCGAAATTAACGAGTTGAAGTCACCGGTAACCAGCACTAAAATTGGGTTACTGCTTTTAAAGGAATCAAAGTTGCGTTTAAAATACTAAAGCATACTAAACCACACTGCGTACCACATGGCAGCCAATCTTCCTAAATTATACCCCCTAATATTAGAAAAATGGTTGTAATTTACACATATTTCAATTTCTTTCACCTACCCCTAGAACATATATGTACACCATAAATGCCCCAAATTCGCGGTCTAGTTATAAATCACAACCACGACATTCTTCCAAACGACAAAGCTAGCTGATCAAAACAACTCTCTGATTACTCTCAGATCGCCGACCGAAACAGGAGGTCGTGTCCCGCCTAAATGGAAGCTGATCGAAATTTCAGAGCTGACGTGGGAACGCAGAGAGTGTCCGGTATTAACTGCCGTGACGTTTCTTAAACAGGGAAGGGGTAGAGAGTTTGTCTCTAAATTACGCCGGTAAGTCGGCAACACTTAACTCGGCAAGGGATGCGGGAAGGGAAACGGTTTTCCGTAAGCTCGAAATACGGCTAAAAGTACCGAGGACCCGCGGCCGGAAAGAAACTACGGGCAAAGGATTGAACGTAAAACTCACAAGGTAATTCCAGGAGTCGCGCGCTCCTGGGATTAATTAAGCGCGGCGTTGCTACGTACGGTTGAGCTCGCGAAAGGAAAAAGATGGGAAGGGAAAGACAGAAAAGAAAAATAACGAATGTAATTAACGTCGCCGACTTATCATCCACGCGAAACGATGAAAAAACATCAGAGTTTTTTTTAAATCTTCCAAATTTCATGTGTTTAAGTGTCGAACTATCTATTGTCGAATAGGATTATCGAACTATCGATTTTTATCGTTTAATTGTCGTTTACTCTTCAGTTTCAACGGAGAATACACGATACACCATTGTTGCACTTTTAACGCCTACGGAAAGGAAATTTCAGGAATGTATGCGCGAGGCATTCTGTGAACTCTGATACGGAATTCGGGAAATGTGACGTACCTACGGATTTTTCTAGTGATCACTACTTATTCCGATCTCTACAATGTTTTTTAACCGGTGAAAAGTTCGACGATATTGAACGCATGAAATTCGCGTTGAATAAGTTTTTAATTCAAAACGTCGAAAAATGATTTGAACTATTGATTGATAAGAAACGACATTACTTATTGCATACTTAACATTAGCTTTACGGGACGCGTCATTTTAACGCATTTCGAATACCTTCTAATCTCGAAATTTTCTATATGGTATACCCATCTCTACAGATATGCGTCAATTTCACGCGATCGTAAATTGAATATTAAATAAAATAAGTTATATTTCAAAGAAAATGTTCGTTGTCGCGTGTCCGTAGAGATAGGTGTATAAGAAATATCCGTAAACCTAGTGTTAATGCATAAGAATTCCCATTTCGATAATACGAAATAAAACGTGTAACTAGACGTGGAAACACGGCCACGTGGAGGCGTAAAAATAAAATGAAAAGCGTACGAACCGATTGTCGAGCGTGCCTGTGAGTGAACGATGGGATTGTTATTGGCCTCGGAGTTGGTCGTCTGCGGTCGATCGGTGATGGCGGCGGTGGTGGAAGTGGCGGTGGTGGTGCCGGCCACGGAGCTGAAGCACGAGGCGGACGTCGAGGACGGGTTCGTTGTGTTCAACGGCTTAGAGGACCAGGAACTGCAGGTATCGCAACCTTCCGCGGAGCGTGTCGACAGGCGGCAACAGGACCAACGTTTTCCGCTCCACAGTCCGGCGTGATAACGGCCGCTCAGACTTGGATTTTCGCTGCACACTATGGACAAACAGAAAATTACCTCTATGAATCGTTAATACAAACACCGTTCATAATACAGTAATATCTCGATGAGTGTGTAAATTATTTTATTACTTATAAATTTGTTTTTTGCGCGTAGCCGAGCGTCTGCGTAGTTTCTGTTTACCCTGTTTTGATTGGTTTTGGAAGGGGAGCCCCCCAGTGGTAGGAATAACGCAGTTGTTCGTATCGCATTCATCGAGGGATCACTGTACAGCGTATTCGCACAGTTCCAATTCATGAAGTTTGTGCGTATGAAATGTGGTTTTGGGGAATTAAACTTTCACCATATGTAGGTTTTTCTAACGATATTTCTGTTGCTGTTTGTCGTGGATTATTTTCAATAATATATGCTAAAACGTTATTGTCGATGGCATCGTTTGGTGTTGCTCGCGATTAATTTTCTATTCAGAATTCGGTGAATTTATATTAAACAGTGGGCGTTTATTTACTTCAAAAAGACAGAAACATGAAATAAGAGAAATTTATTTGTTCAATTAAGAGTTTCATTCGATTGAATAACAAGATTTAGGTGATCAAAATTTACAAATACATTTCACCCCTATCGCGTGAAATTACGTGTTCCTCGGATTATTGTCAACCGCCACATATTCATAAATATTTTCGAATATTGCGAAGCTCCGAGTACAATTTCCAAAAGCAACAAGGTCGTCAGTATTCCGACCATTGTAACGCGAGACCCGAAGCCCAGTGTCGAATAAAAGTCAATCGAATTCACAACCGCCAGTCACAGTGAAATTCCTTTCAATCTCCGCTAACGACTGCCAAATGAAAAATCAAATAAATTACTGACCCGATATCACAAACTGTTAACTGGTCCACCACCACACAAACACACACACACGCGAAATCCATTCCACGAACGTATCACGAGCACATCCACGATCTATCGGGCACACTCGAAGCGTAAACAACTGGGAAATGGCAAAACTCCGATGAGCAGGAACCTTTTATAGAGGTGGAAAAGCGTTTCACGTTTAATTAATAACCGTGCGAAAACGAGCGCAAATAAAAGTGTCCGAAAATTTATGCGACTCCCCCCCCCCCAGGTAACAGAAGAAAAAAAAGAAGAAGAACGCAGGTATCCACCTAAACTCCAAATACCACCAATAACGGTCGTTTTGGAAGGGCAACAGGAGGGGTTAGAAAGAGACAAAAATATTGAAACGCCATATCTCACCGCTAGAAACCTCCCTTTTATTCGACACTGACGCTCTACCTGTATTTATTTCACAAATTATCTAGCCCCTGAATTCTCCTAGCAATGCTCGACGCGAATGGTGCCCATAAAAATTCGTAAAAAAATCGCGTTGCAAGCTTGTCCACTCGGTTTTTTCGCGCGCTCGTACGTCGAATAACTTTTCCCAAGCAATGTTCCTGGCAGATGTCTTTCTGTTTGTTCTTTGTTAGATATTTTTCTGTTTGTTCTTTGTTACGCGTTCTCGCGGACGATTTTACGGAGGAGCATGCACTGGACACGCCCCTAGATCTATGGTACGTCCACTCGAGAATACAGTGAAACCGAACAAGGATAAATTGTCGAGATTTCCCGAGAGGATTCAACTTTGGGCGAAGCCATGGCTGGTTCGAAAAGAAGAAAGAACGTGTAAAATACGAGATACACTTCGCAGCAAAATTAAAGGATCGCTGAATTTTCACCATAGACATTGTCTATCTTTGAACTGCGATAGTTTCGTGGCAAAAATCGTACAACACTCTGTCTGTTGGCATTTTCAAGGAAGAATTGTGCGCTTTCACCTCCACTGGTGATTTTTTTCAAAGATGCTTCTATACTAGGAAATTTTTTAAAATTCTGTAAAATCAAACGACTCCACGGAGTTCAACAAAAATTTTTTCTCAGCTCGAATTGCCAGGAATTTGAAGAGTGAAACCTCCCATTTATAATTAGTCAAACCTTGTCAAGAAGGGAAATCTATCCCTTCGGTCTTCAGAATGTTAATATATTAAAAAGAGTACTTCCTTTTGTGTGTCACAGTTGCGTCGCTCATGAAACCGTCTTCACAACCAAAAATAGCTGAAAAATCAAGAGGATTCGCTTTTATCGCGATATTCCGGTGCATCGTCTTTGAAACAAGCTGTACAAACTATTCAACCGGTCTCACGGACAACGCAAGCCGAATTTCGGCCAAGAAATAGCGGGTCAAGAGGGACGATAGCCCCTTGGGGGAGGACTGAAAATTAATTAATCCGAGTGGCTCGTTAAAATGCAATCCGAGGGAAAGATGGTAATAATTGTGCTGCTTGTTGAATCGCTATTTCTTCTAATCTTCTTTTGAGGCGGGATATTGCACGAGAGAAAGAAATAGTCCCTTGCAAGAGGGAGGACTAAAAATTAATTAATCCAAGTGGCTCGTTAAAATGCAATCCATGGAAAAGGTTGTAATAATTGTGCGGTTTGTTGAATTGTTGTTTGTTCTAATACTCTCTCGAAGCTGGATATTGCAAGACAGAAGAAAATTGAGTAGTTAAATCGCAAATATTGGCGTGTAAGTAGTTCAGTCTTTCATTGCGTCCGAGATGTGCATCACTCGATAAGTAGAATAGGAACATCATTGGTCAGACGTATTGTTTACACATTGGCAAGAACATATTGAATATCTAGGTATATTGATAATAAAAATAAGATTAATAATATATGTGTTAGAAAAGTGATTCGATCTAATTCAGTATTAGATGCTATAACTCCTACGTTTTAATCTACATTTTTTCTTATTTCAAATGTTGAATAAAGGTTGTTAGTAATCATTTTTGTTAAATTTATCCATGACAATATTAGTGTTAGAACTCTGTTATGTCTATTTCACCTAATTTGTCGGTTACATCTGCCACAATTATATTTATTCTAATCAAAATCTAATTTATTATTCTTACATGTAAATTAGACTTCGATTACATGGTAGCAAACTCAATTAAAATTACGTGCCTTTGAATCTACAGTCAAACTGAATCATCTATTTCTGACGAAGATTTCCTCATATTTATTCCGTTAGAAGTAGCATCGCTGAATAATGCGTACACCGGTACACATAATTTAGTAATTAAATCCGGAAATCAAAATCCATCAACCGAATTTATATCAATGTGCAACTCGAAAGAGAACGCCGGCGCTGAAATTGTTTAATTTCAGATTTGCCAATCCGGCCCTCGAAATGAAATTATAAATTATCAATTACCACTGTTCCAACGCCGAACGTTTACTCGTGTTTCAAAATTATTCATACATTTCCGAAGAAAATATGTACCTAACGCTTATTTATTTCGTACAAATACAGCAGAATCAATATTTTATTTTAATTACTTGTTATGCCAACTAGTCCGTAAATATTAATTTAAACAATTATCACGAATTTCACGGTATTGTGTGATCTCGAATCACGAAGCGTGTACGATCTTTTACATTTTACCATATAAATACTGCCCAATTTTACATCCATCATCACATCGTTGTTCCAAACATAAAACAGTAGCGGTCACATTGAAACTAACATTCGTTATTCTATTTTATCGCCAGGGAATACGACTTTGACCAAAAAGAAAAATGAAAAATTCTAGAGAACAAGGAAAACTACTTTGACAAAAAAAGACTTGATATTCCGAGGGTTAAAAATGCAATCAAGACCTAACACGAAGAATTCAGTAACTACCAATGATAATAAACCGATTAAGGTCAAACACGTATCTGCTCGATAAGTAGAATAGGACGATCATTGATCAGACGTGCTGGTAGTCCATGTAACAAAAAAGGGATTTGATATTACGAGCGTTAAAGGTGTCACACTGACGGAACGCGATGAATTCAGTGACCCCGAATGATAATGAGGCGATTAACCGCCGTACTTCCCGTGGAATTCGACGAGACAGAGCCAAGGGAGAAGGCCTCGACCGGAGCATAATTAAAGAACCAGCCCGATAAAGAGGAATAAGCTGAACCAGACTACTTTGCACTTTCGTCGGGAGCGGGGCTGTCGTGCACAATAGTTCTCGTCGATATTGTCTCTTCCCCTGACAAATTGCTCGAGGGCTTTGGCATCGATCGGGACCTTTTAAGCCTTGGGAATTTTTTCCACGGCGCCGGGGATGCATATGCATTTACCCGAGAGTTCTCCGGTCACGAAGTCGACGACGATAAAGATCAACCGGCTCAAAGCATAGTCTCACTTGTTTCTTAATTCACTAGTTTCTTAAACGAGCGATTTTCCTTGGAAAGTGAACGTTTTTTCATGCTTGAATGGATAGTCAACACTTGATATCAGTAAGAATTAATGTGTCTCTTGGTGTAAGCAAAAATCGCATTAAAGAAATATACTTACATATCGCTCGATCGTTATAAGTCGACTGCTAGTCTCAAATTAATTTACAAGTTTTCCTGACAAAGAATATAATTAAAAATGGAAATCTGAATTCTGATCCAATTGACCCAAACAATGGCACGAGGGTTAAACAAACATTCTATGTTAATTAAATTTCCGAAGTGACGCAATTACTTAATAATTGAAATCTGAATTCTAGTCAAAGTGACTCGAAAACTGCACGAAGGTTAAACAAACATTCTATGTTAATTAAATTACCGAAGTGACCGAATCACTTAAAAATTGAAATCTGAGTTTTGGTCAAAGTGACCCGAACACTGCAAAAGGCTTAAACAAACATTCTATGTTAATTACATTTATCAAATGATCCCATTAGAACCACTACCCCTAAGAAATACTTCAATTCGCGACGATAAAAATGTTCCACAGAGGAATTCCATAGATCAGTCATCAATTGTACCCTAAGCAAGCAACATCCCTTACAAAAGAATCTTCCACGATAGCTGCAACGAAGATCAACAGTTCGTAACAAGCTCAACGTACCCCTGAAACAGGTAAATAGAACGTTCACCATGTTTTCCATCGTTTTCTACCGCTGAACAGTCTCAAGGGGACTACGTCTGAAAA